AATGGGGTGATGTATTAGGTTTTACAAGATTGAGAATTTGTATTTTAGTATTGTGAATGAAGTAAATTGAATTAACAACGTCGTCCCATAATTATTATCTATATATAATTTAGAAAATATTAATTTCCGTATTTCTTGTATTCTTCCTCCTCTTTTCATCAACACATTTCACCCATGAAAGGGTTAATTTTTGTGTGGTCCTAAATAAGGCCACGTTAATGGACCAACAATGTCATGTCCAAAAACTCCAAATTTTATGGAATCTCAAACTTTGGGCTTAAAGGTCTTATTTCCACAAATCCCCCACCCCATGATTTGTTTTTTCCCTTTTTTCTTTTTTTGGATAATTTCAAAAATAAATTTCATATATTAAATATGTTGTTGGATTTTTCTTCTTATTTTTAATTTGTGGCTTGCATTAATTCAAATATTTTATCTGATTTCATAAGATCACCTTTTAAAGAAAGAATTCATGTTCAGATTGAATTGAGCCAATATTTTTTTAATATATAAGATCATATCAAATTTGAATTTAAAGTAAAAAAATATGATTCGAGCTGACCCAAAAATAATAGTATAATTAATATTTATATATTTATAGATAATAGATATAATACTCATCTATATGTATTTTTTTAATTAAACATCTATTTTACCTAATATGTGTGTGTGTTTTGGTAAGAGTTTTTACCTTAAACATTAGATTGAATTTCGAATTAGGTGAAGTTTTCCTAAATCCGAGTCGAGTGATAAGTAAAAAAAAGTATTATAATAAAATCAAATATGGATAAATAAAAAAACTTAACCTGATTTAACCCATGTCTATCCCTAATTATATTACTTAATTTTATCCACTAATTCTTATTCTAGTTCATAGCTTTCACAATCTAAATATCTTCCTAAAACGGGACCCCAATGAAACATTCCAAGAAGATGGCAACCTCTAACCGTATTTCCAAATTTGGTGAAAATGATGAAATGAATTGGAATCGCAACCATTATCTCATCTGCATGATAAAATACAAATAAATAAATAGTTTTCTAACAATATCCCAAACAAGGAGAGTTCTGTATGGTAATAAATGGAACATATTTTAGTGGCAAAGAAACAACCTTAACTGGTAACCTCAAGCAGATGAAGTGAAGGTCGAATGACTCAGCAAAATGCAGCAATTGCTTGCTACCACGTGTATTCTTTATGCAATCTGTGATTGTGATCTGTGTGGCCTTCAACAAATGGAAAAAAGGGTGAAATTCAACAAAAAGTCCTTATTCTATTATTTTTTAATTTAATCCTATTATAATTTGATCATTTATAGTTCTCTAGTTCTCGAAATGTCAAATAATTTGAGGTGATTTAACTAATCTGAATTTGTCAAACGTTATAGATTCGATACCCAATTTTGTCACTTACGAATGTGGTACCTATGTTCTTTTAACCAATTTGGTGCATATATTTATAAAATGTTACACATTTGGTACATGTATTTATAAAGTCAAATGCTTAAAAATATTATATGGATTCCACTTACAAATGTGGTACCTATGTTCTTTTAACCAATTTGGTACATATATTATAAATGTTACACATTTGGTACCTATATTTATAATGTCAAATGTTTGAAAATATGATATGGATTTCATGTCATAGTTTGTTATAATTTAAAATAAATTAAATAATTTATTTGAAATAAGAAGGATAATGGTAATATAAAGTTTTAATCTCAGCTATTCATTTAGATTAATTCAATGACTATATTTTCATATAAAACTAATGAATTTTACGTTGTAAGTGGATCCGATCTAAAAAATATATTTTTTCCAACTGCATAAAAAATCATGCCAAGTTTTTGACATTGGGATTGAAAATACACATTTGAAAAAAATGGAGAACTTAGAAATAATCATATTATAGTAGAAGGACTAAATTGTAAAAATGTATAGTACAAGAACCTTCTATAAAATTTGACCAAGAATGACAGATTATGCAGAATGCAGCAATCTCCATCTGCCACGTAGACACATAATGCAATCTTTGATTGTGATTTCTGTGGCCTTCGACAAATGAAGAAAGAACAATATCCTTAATCTTTGTACACACACAGTATATATCCTTTATAAGCCAGCTCGTCAAAGGCCATTTTCTCCCAACACGTTCATATTACTAAACATTTTACAGTTCACTCTCGAATCTCTGATGGCGGCTTCCGTCTCCACCTTCGGTGCTGTCAACCGAGCACCGGTAATTACAATACTATCGTCGATTCCACCATCAATTTTATTATTAAGTGTGTTTCAAACATGCAACGATTGATGTTATGTTTTGTTATGCAGTTGAATTTGAATGGCTCCGGTGTCGGATCCACAGTCCCGTGCTCGGCTTTCATGGGGAACAGCTTGAAGAAAGTGAGCTTGAGGTTCAACAAGGGTCCATCGGGAAGCTTCAAGGTCGTCGCTGCCAAGGAAATCGACGAAAGCAAACAGACCGATAAGGATCGGTGGAAGGTCTTGCTTACGATGTCTCTGATGATCAACAAGACATCACCCGAGGGAAAGGCATGGTCGATTCCCTCTTCCAAGCTCCCATGAATGATGGAACTCACTATGCTTTCATGAGTTCCTATGAGTACCTCAGCCAAGGGCTTAAAACGTAAGTATCTATGTAGTGATTTCAAACCATTTCATAAGTGTAACTGATTTTCGATATTAGTTTTTAGTAATAAATTTGTGATGATTATGTAATTTAGGTATAACTTGGACAACATGGATGGATTCTACATTGCCCCAGCTTTCATGGACTAGCTTGTTGTCCACATCACCAAGAACTTCATGTCCCTCCCTAACATTAAGGTGTCTTGATTTTCTTGAAGAAATATTCTATTTTCGTATATTAAAAGATATTGCGCGTTAAATATACTTAAAGTTCTGTCTGTAGACATCGAATTTACCAATTTTTTTTCGATTTTCCTTTACGAAGGTTCCTCTCATCTTGGGTATTTGGGGAGGCAAAGGTCAAGGAAAATCTTTCCAATGTGAACTCGTCTTTGCCAAGATGGGAATCAAGTGAGTTGATTTCTTTATTCGTGTCCGTAAATGAAATTTATTTATATTTGTATCTGTCACGTATTTGTATCTAACACTAGTGACTGATGCCTTACTATGATGAATTAATATTGCAGCCCCATTATGATGAGTGCCGGAGAATTGGAAAGTGGGAATGCCGGAGAGCCAGCCAAGTTAATCCGACAGAGGTACCGTGAGGCCGCCGATATCATCAAAAAGGGAAAAATGTGCTGTCTCTTCATCAATGATCTCGACGCCGATGCCGGTCGTATGGGAGGAACCACACAGTACATGGTGAACAACCAGATGGTGAACACTACGCTCATGAACATCGCCGATAACCCGACAAACGTCCAGCTCCCTGGAATGTACAACAAGGAAGACAATCCTCGTGTCCCGATCATCGTCACCAGTAACGATTTCTCGACACTGTATGTGCCTCTTATCCGTGACGGTCGTATGGAGAAGTTCTACCGGGCACCTACTAGGGAAGATAGGATCGGTGTTTGCACTGGAATTTTCAGGACCGATGGTGTTCCCCAGGAAGACATTGTCAAGCTTTCTACACCTTCCCTGGTCAATCCATTGGTAAACTTCTTAATAATTCCCCATGTCTCCGTAAATCGGTCTAATTATAGTTTTAGTCTTTTTATTACTTTGAAACTTGATATTTAGACCAGAAAAACTTTTAACCTCGAACCCGAATGATTTAAACATGAAATGATCCGAACTTGAAAAGAATAGAACTCTAAACAAGAAATTAAAACACATGTATTAAATCTCCAATTTTAACCTAGTGGATGGTCTAATTATGATTTTTGTCCCTCTATTATGCTGATCGGGATTTAATCTCTATTTTAGTACAATTTGATCCTTTACTTTTATAATGAAACTAACGGTGTTATTTTTATTTTCGGGGTTTAATTTGTACACTTTTTCGGTGCCGTGAGGGCTAGAGTTTATGACGACGAAGTAAGGAAATGGATCGGAGACACCGGAGTCTCCGGCATCGGCAAGAAGCTAGTGAACTCGAGGGAGGGGCCACCAACATTCGAACAACCGAAGATGACGATCGAGAAGTTGTTGGAATATGGAAACATGCTTGTGACGGAGCAAGAGAATGTGAACAGAGTTCAATTGGCTGATAAATACTTGAGTGAAGCTGCTCTTGGAGATGCTAATGCAGATGCCATCAACAGAGGAGCTTTCTGAATGGGAAATTAAGCAAAAGCTTGGGGCCTTTTTTCTGGGGGAATATATTGGGTTCAAACCGATGTGGGATAATTTCCATGAATGTTGTTTTTCTTTGTTTTTAAGTGGATTTGTATCCTCTATTTTATGTTATAGATCTCCACTTTGTTCTTTCATGTATTTTCTTTTAGTCAGAATGATTATAATATAATATTTATTCAGATTTTTTATTAATTATTATAAAGTATATATACCCTGCGAACATAGTGGCTCGAACCTGAGACTATTAGGAAAAACAACACTCCTTTTAACCATTGAAATTGCTTAATGAATTCCACTTTGTTCTTTCTTGAATTTTGAATTTAATCGTTTGGTGGATTAAACTTAAAAAATAAATAAAGATTGAATTCACTAAACGGCTTTAATTATAAAAAAAATATTGTTTTCTTTAAAGGTCTCGAGTTAAGGAAATACGTTTACATGATGTAAATATGTTTATGGTCAATTAATTAAGAAACTTTTGAACATTTATTATATTATAATAATCACATACAAATAAAAAATAAAGTTATAAAATAGATAAAAGTATTTTATTTTTAATCAACATAAAAATTTATTAATATTGATAAAGGTGTCGACAAAGAACCCCATCAAAGTAAAATCGACACATTTGAAACAATCAACATTATTATACAAACCCATATCACACACAATTTATCATCTTCCCGATCCTTAGATGCTTCTATTTACGATAATAACATATGATTTCCTATAATATCCTTTAATTTTATTTTATCGTTTTGACAATGTCTTCGACATTTTCCAATAGATTTTTGAGCATGATAACTTCATCAAACTGCTTTTTATCTGGCAATTGTGCTTCCACTTGCTTCAATTCATTCTCACAGTTCTCGGTATTAGTCACTGCAGCTTTCATATTGAACTTCTCTGCTTTGTGATTCCTGGATTCCATGGCTGTACGAGCCTTATCAAGTTCCTTCATAGCGGATACGACTTCGTGATCACATATACCGTATTTTGCCCTGACCTCGGGTGTGAGTGGCACAGGACCTTCGAGTACGGTAGTCTTGAGGTTTCGTGAAACGTCTGAGGCATTATTAACAACGATTTTGATGATTATTGATGCGATTAAATCTGGCTGGGCATTGTCGGGAAGGTATCTGCCGATGTATGATTCCTTAAAGCTCGCGATGCAAAGTTCCTTGTGCTTAGTCTGTTCACATGTTTTGGTGATGTCCGGAACTGCGTTTAACGACGGGAAGAATGAAAGGCAAATGAAAAAAGATAAAGCCAATGCAACATTATTTGCGATGGGGTTCATTATTTTTGTCTCGAGATTATTAATTTTACACAACTTGGAAGATGATTTGGATCAAGTTAGAGGAGTTATGATCTATTTATACCTGTATATATGCATGTTAAATTAAGAAATTTTGAAAGTGTGTCCTTGAACGTCCAAAGACAAATGCGCTCAACCAGTTATTGTGACTGCTAAGAATAGTGGTTGTTGTTAGGTTGAACTCTTGGCCCGTATTATATGTCTTTAAATTCTAAAGCTTTATTCATAAATAATAATTAGACTAATAAATTTTGATTTGAACTCGAAAATTTGCCATTATGAACCCAAGTGGTCTTAGTGGTAAAAGAGAATATTGTTTTCTTTAGAGATTATGGATTATGCTAACTACATCTGTAGGGTGTGTTATCAATTGATTAAGAAAATTCTGAACATATACTACCTTATAATCACATCATCAGACTAGTCAAAAAAATTCACCATTATGAAATCTATCCCAAGTAATACCAATACCCTTTCCTGCTGATTTAATGTCAAAGGTGTTAATTGGTGCAGATCTGAAGCTACAAGTGTTCGAGAGCCTTGCACTAGAATGCTGGGATATGCTAAGGTATGATTTTGAACCTGAAGAACGACGAAACAATCTGTTATTGCTTGTAGGGGCAAACACAAAATTTTATATTAGGGGATGAACTTTTAAAATTTTATGATTAATAAATTTTTCGCACAATAAAAATAAATTTTATTTAAGAAAATAATATTAACCAAAAATCAAATTTACCGATTGATGCTTCAAAATGACATATTAAACTAGACAAAGTGACATATTAAACCAGACAAAGTGACATTTTGAGTCAATTTCCATCTGGACTGGATTTTAACCACAATACAATGGAAGACATTGCCTATTTTGGTTTATATTTTAAACTAAATTATGACCGTAATATAACATAGTGGTCGTATCTAGGGATGTAAACGAGCCGAGTCGAGTTCGAGTATTGCCAAGCTCGATTTGAATTCAAAAACTTTATATGTAAGCTTGACTCGACTCAAAAACTCGCGAGCCTAAAATTTTTAAGCTCAATTCAAACTCGAAAGATAATATTAAAACTCAACTCGAACTCAAAAAGGCTAAAATTCAAAAAAAAATATTCAAGAGCTCAACCAAAACTCGATTTTGAGCTCGATTCAAGCTCGGTTTTGAGCTCATTTGAAGCTCGAAACGGGCTAATTTTCAATTGTTGAAACCCATCCCGACTCTCTTTACCCCTTATTCCCCAAGAACCACCGATGTGGGATATGAACTACTTTCAAACAGCTCAACAATTCTTTTGTAAGCACCATTTTCACCTTCATGCTGCCTTTTCCTCAATTTTCCTTCTCAGCAGCTTCACGAATCTCTTCTATTTATTCTTTCTTCCACCTGCTGCTTTGATATGAATGTCTTCTCCATACAATTCCCCATGTGTTCTTTTTCCAACCGCATCACTCCAAATCACAGATCCTGTTGTTCCCTCCAAGTTAAGCATCTTTTTCTTCCCTCCAACAGGAGATCCTTTCATTGTCAATCCTCTTGGACTCTCCTGGGAAGTAAGGCAGCTTTCGGTAGAACCATCAACCCTCTGAGAAAGCAGACCGGTTGACATTTCTTCTTCTTGGCCACATGCATTCACGACCTCAGCAGATTGGGCAGAGTAAAATCCAAGTTGATCCACTGAATAATTTCTCAGCATCTTATTACCAACGTCCAAGTTATCTGTTTTGATAACTTCAACACTTCCGAATAAAATGATCAGCAAGCATCTTACAAGCTTTCTCTAGCATGGCCATATATTTTCGTTCAGCATCCTGCCAAATCTGCAAGTGTTTTTCAGCCTATATAGGACACATAATAACATTAGCCAGCTTGATGTTGGTCTTCACACTCTGATCTGGAGGGTTCTATCAAACATATTGAGTAGGGTTTTCCTACAATCAATCAATTATATAAGCCTCATAACAAGTTTCTCCAGATCAGAGAAACTATAGAATTGCACAAGACCCCAGAAACATTCAATATGCACTGCAAAACTTTTAGTTACTTCATAGCTACATTCATAACAAGGAAATAACTACAAAAGGAAGAAAAAGATTACCTCAACTTGCAAATGTAATTTACTCTGTACTTTCATCTGTGCCCTTAATGCCTCCCTCACCTCATAACCCCTGCACGTAAAACTCATTTACATCAAGTAGCTTAAGATTTGAAATCCTAGCAACGAAACCATAGTTTCAAACAAGAGAGGAAAATTCTCACTCGTTCATGTCAGAAGTTGGCAAGTTAATGGTATAGTTATTGGTTCCAGGGCTTTCTAAAAGATATGAAGCTGACATCCCTTCATGAAAATGAAGAAAAGAGAATTCAGTATGTATTTCAATCACATTTGTTTAAATTTTCTTATTTGTTTTAAATGTTCATGTGTCATTTATGTTATTTTCCATATTATTTTAGCTTAAACCGAATAGGATCAATTGCATATAAGACCCTATAATTTATGCGCATTTTGTATTTAAGTCATTGGTTTAATTCTAATTTTGTAAGTTTAATTTTACATTTACGTGAATTTAATCATCATTCTAAAGTTAGTATATTTAGCTTAAATTAGTCCTCACACTTAGATTTCTCTTGATTTAGTCCCTGTTTAGGATTGTTTTCTTTAATTAGTTGTGTATATTTATTTTGCAGTTTGATATGTTTATGTATAAGTATGTGATTGATTTATTTAGGAGTCACATAACATCATTTTGCATAATTTGTATGTTACCTTCATGTGCATAACTTAACTTCTATCACATAATCAGATTTAGGTTTAGGGTATATAGTTTAGGGTTTATGATATATAGTTTAAGGTTTAGGGTTTATAGTTTAGGGTTTATTGCAAAGATATTAATTAAAATTTGAGGTAGTTGAATTTTTAATAATGTAATTTTAAAAAATCTAAAATTATAATATAACATTTTTTCGAGCTGCTCACGAGCTTTGCGAGTCGAATATCAAGTAGCTCGTTTAGGCTCGTTAAGAACTCGAGTCGAGCTCGAGCTCGAGTCGAGTCCATTCGATTCGAGTATTTATCGAGTCGATCTCGAGTAGCTCGCGATCTGTCTCGTCTCATTTGCAGCCCTAGTCGTATCATAGATGTTTTGAAGATTATCATAATTTAAAAACATTGTAAATTTTTATAAATAAATCACGTCATAATATTTACAACATTTATAAATGTGACATTACAACCGCATTATAAAAGATACTACAATCTCAATTTAATTTTATGATGAGATAAAAAATTTATATTATTGATTGATACGATGTGTTTGTAGTCCAACAGAGTTATTGTGACAATTTAAAGAGAAAATAAATTAATTCTATTTTAAAAACGTAACAAGAACATCACTAAATTTAACGAGGAAAAATGTCACAACTCATGAACACCCGAAACTCATACGCACATAGTAGGAACATCCTTTGTGGTAAGTGAGATCTCAAGGAACATTTCATAGTTGATCCTTTATAGCAAGTGAATTTTCATCCTAGTCATTTATGTACATTCATTTAAAATGATGATTCAACTATAACCAGAGGTGTCCACTTCATTTGCATCATCCCATTTTATTTTTTAATGTATACTTATTATGTTGTAATTAATCTTAACCGTTTATTTTCACTCATTCAACAATCCTAAAAAGATATAAAAATAAAAGTTTTGCATAAGGTGTAAGTAGATTTCCGCAAAAAAAAAAGGTTAAGATCCACTTACACCTAGTGTAAAACTTTTACTTTTACATATTTTTAAGATCATTTTATTAGTAAAAATAGACAGTTGAGATTATCTCATTGTTTTTTTCAGTTAATATATTCTCATTTTCTATTGTTAATCTTAACCGTCTATTTTTACTCATCCAACGATCCTAAAAATGTGTAATAGTAAAACTGTACACTAATTATAAGTGGATCCTAACCTATATAGAAATTATTTTACTATATTACTTGCCCTCATTTTGGATTCTAATAAACTAGCAAATGCATAAAATAGATAAAAAAAATATATATTTTGTTTTTATTTTTAATCAAAATAAAAAGTTATTCATATTAATAAAGGTGTTCACAAATAACCCATCAAAGTACAATCAAAACCAGCATTTGAAACAAGCAACATCACGATTCAAGACCCTTAGACTCATCAACTTACAATAATAGCATCGAATTTTGATTCTCGACAACATCCCTTAATTTTATTTTATCGTTTTTATGATGTCTTCAATATTTTCCAATAGTTTTTTGAGCATAATAACTTCATCAAACTGCTTTTGGTCTGGCAATTGCGATTCCACTTGCTTCAGTTCATTCTCACAGTTCTCGACATTAGTCACAGCAGCTTTCATGTTGAATTTCTCTGATTTGTGATTCATGGATTCCATGGCTGTACGAGCTTTATCGAGTTCCTTCATAGCGGATACGACTTCATGATCGCATATACCGTATTTTGTCCTGACATCGGGTGTGAGTGGCACAGGACCCTCGAGTACGGTAGTCTTGAGGTTTCGAGAAACATCAGAGGCATTATTAACAATGATTTTGATAAGTATCGACGCAATTAAATCCGGCTTGGCATTGTTGGGAAGATATCTGCCCATGTATGATTCCTTGAAGCTGGAGATGCAAAGTTCTTTGTGCTTAGTCTGCTCACATGTTTTGGTGATGTCCGGCACGGCGTTTAACGACGGGAAGAAAGAAACGCAAACGAAGAAAAACAAAGCCAATGCAACATTATTTGTGCTGGGGGCCATTGTTTTCTCCTACTGGTTATTGATTTTACACCTTTTCGACTTGGAAAAAGCTAGAGGAGATGTGTTCTTTTATAGCTTGGGGATGCCTTTGAACGACCCATAGATAAATGTGCTTAACCATTCATTGTGACCCCTAAAAATAGTGGTTCAACTCTTGGTTTGAATCCTGGTTTTCATTTTTTTCTTTTTAATTTACGTCGTTAATCTAATTACTATACTAATCTAAAGAGTAACTATTAATGTAACTAAAT